CCAGTTTTCCTGATTCTTGACCAGAGTGTAGGAAGTACATCCAATACTTAGCACTTACTGTAAATGGGGATGCTGACTCTCCCCTTGTTCTTCTTAATGTTGGGGCTAGCTCAGCATAAACATGATTAGAAGATAGCTCTATAGTTGTCCCAGGGAAAAACGAAGGTCTTCACTAGCTACTCTGAAAGAGGGCAGATAGAAGAGAGGGAATTCAAAATCAACATTCAACTTGAAAAGAAAAATAAATAATGAGAATATTCTTGTAGATCATAAAGAGAAATAATGATTACCTTTGATTCCTAGAGAAAGCTAATTTAAAATGTATCCAAGCTCCAATGTACAGGCAAAAAGACAATTTTTTTTTAATCTGTGAAGTTGAGATAAGTCTTCAGTAGGCAGAAACAAGTTGTCATCATTTAAAAATTGGGGAAGAAGCTCATTCACAGTAATTGAGGGGGAAAGAGTTCAGAGATTAACTGAACTTGGTTTAGGACACACACACACACACACACACACACACACACATTTATTTTTAAATCCAAATGGTATTTGGTGCCTACAAGATCAAAATCTGTCCTAAATGGCTGGCTGTAAAAAGAAAAACCCAGAGTAATCAGACAACCGACACAGAGACTTATGTGTTCATCAAATTAAAATCTGAAATCACTTAAAGCAAATTATCCATCTTTGAAGGAAACTCTCAAGTTCATGTGACCTCTGAAAGAGAAGGAATATGTAGATTTTACAAAAGGGGGCAAGTACAACTTGATTGGTTTTATACGTGAGTTTGGTGTGTACGAGATGCTAATTACATGAATGCAGTTGTAGCATAAGTGTCCATTTTAGACATCAGACATGCAAACGATGATATGTTTTAGAACGCTGTGACATTGGGGTGAGGTCATTACCTTTCTAGTTCAAGCTCTTTGACCTTGGACATTCGGTCTAGAAGAACCCACTGCCACCTGCCTGAGGTTGTAGATGAAATATTTTCTTATTACCAATAAATAGTTACTCACTTTACAAATACTGAGAGCACAGGATCTGCCAGACCCTTTCATGAAACACAGACAAAAGAGGTGTGTTTCCTTCCCTCTCAGTCTACCTGCCTCCTAGGGGTTATTCGATGATAGTATCTGCCTCATAGAACCACTAGAGTCCTGGGAATGGACAGAGACCCCAGAACTGCTGCCACATCCATTTGTGTCTCAGGTTCTCTGTGTCTTTCTTAAGTGCATTTCCTTGCATAGCTGCCTGGAATCCTGCCTTCTTCAGGACCAGCCCACAATATCATGACTGATGCTTTCTCCACAAGTATCTGTCCCCAAACATGTGCCACCTATCAATGGTTCCCCAACATCCTGAATTATAATTGCTTTCCTTTGAATCACCCATGAGATATGATCTCCCTGAGGGTCTTTTCAACTTCTGTTTTCCCTGCTGGCTCAGAGAAGAGGTGCTCAGGAAATACGTGTTTGATTGACCCAATTTAACAGTACTCTGACGGTTCATAAATCTTGACCAGGTAGGCTAAGATGGTGCTTAAATGTAAATGTCAACATTGTCTCTGTCTATGCTAAGGATTAGCAGGAAAAGAAACAGTATGTGTTCAACCCTTTCCTCCAGTGGAGATATGGGTAGTAAACACTAACTGGGTTTTGAGCATGTGCTGAGATATTAACCCTGATAGAAGAAATGTTGGTGTTTCACAGAGTTCCTGGGCAGAGAAAAATATGCCAAGAAGATTTATAACTCCATTTATTTCCAGGATGATTTGATATCAAAGGTCAGATAGCTCTTAGTCTTTGCAATGATGTCTGTACTGGCCGTGTTTCATAGTGGATTTTTAACTGAGGTGGGGTTCAGCTAGAACAGAGATACTACACTGCATGCTAAAGATAGACCCTCAACATGATATAATAAATTGCTTTGTGCCAAGTTCTAAAGCATTACAAACACTAAATAATCCCATCATATTAGTGACAAGAAACAAGAGATAATTGATTTTTATAATACTTTTTCTTAAATTAGTGAGATGCCAATAATATCAATCTGTACCCTTGTTCAGAAGAACAAAACTCTATAAAAACATGTCTCAGATGACTATATATCTATATTCTCAAGGCTAATTAAAGTTTTTAATGATGCTATCTCCCTATCATGGTGAGATCTTACCCCCTAAACAAACAACCTACTTTCTGATCTCATAATAATGTTGGCTGAAAATACGTTTTTTAAAGTACATTTCAAAATAAATGATGTTAGAATAATACTTCATAGAGTTATAAGATCTACAAACATAAAAGATGTAGGCAGTATAAATGTTGATCATGTCAGGCTTATATTCTTTATCACAGATAAGAACTTTCAAACATTATGCAGAACTCATTTTCCAAATACGTTTGAATTGTGATCTGTCTGAAGTTGAATAACCTTCCTTCGATTTTCAAGCGAAGAGTTAACAGCATAAAGTACCAAGTTCACGCTCAAAGCCGTGCTACTGTTTTTCCTATTTTATCTCCAGGGAAAGGTAACACACAAACATGGCTTCAGACACAGAACAGTAAACCAGTCCAGTTGTTTTCCCAACTGGAGCTGTGTCATGGTTAATTTGAAACAAAAAATGGTCACACATTCTTTGAATTAACATAATTTTAATCACTTTCCATTCTTAATTGTTTTTAAAGCTCTATAAAATGTTTATCACTAATTTGTACCACTATGTTTGAATTGATCAGGAAAGCAGCCTAAACAAAAACATTATTTGTAGCCCGGCACTGGTGGCTCACGCCTGTAATCCTAGCTACTCAGGAGGCTGAGATCTGAGGATCGCGGTTCAAAGCCAGCCCGGGCAGGAGAGACCGTGAGACTCCTATCTCCAATAAACCACCAGAAAACTGGAAGTGGTGCTGTAGCTCAAGTGGTAGAGTGCTCACCTTGAGCTGAAGAGCTGAGGGACAGCACCCAGGCCCAGAGTTCAAGCCCCACGACCGACAAAAAAAACACACAAAAAAAACATCATTTGTATGTAGAATACTATCATGACAATGAAGATGGAAGTAGAATAATGACTGGCTTAAAATAATATGATATCCGTACAGCAAAGGGAAATAAACAGTGCACATTATTAAGCAATATTTTCCCTCTTGAAGAACATGACTGCTCAGCTTACTCTCTGTGCATCTCTGTAATCAAAATCCTTGAAGTGAGACAATCATAGTAAAAAAGTTGTTTATTTCTAAATACCATATTCCTAAAAGTATTTTCAACTGAAAGGTTGACTTAAAATATTTTACTTTTTTCTTCTTACTCTTTTTAAACCAAAAGGTATCAATTGAGACTGGAACTAAAGGGAATTTTTAATAGATTGAGATTAAATCTATCCAATTTTTTTCACCCAGGGAAAATTCCTTCTCATTTATTCTTAGGCAGTCTTCTGTAGAAGGACTATTAAAATGATGAGCTGCAGTGTTTTGACAAGCACTTCTACTGAAAAAAAATAAGAACCTTGAAATCTCACTGGAATACAGTTACATATTCACCATAGAAAAGAATGCCCTATTTAAAAACTAGGACAGATCATGTTGATCTGGAAAAAGGAAATAACTATGTGAACAATACATCTGAAATTAAAGACTGAGTGGTTGGCACCCATCTAAAATCAACAGGAAATGTAATTACTCTATGAAAGTACTCTTGTCCTGTCTTACTATGTAAAATGAATTTTGCTCTGGGGAATAAAAGACTGAGACGTTATTTGTATTCAGAATAGCATTCCCGAAACAAAGACAGGGTATGAGGGGGAAACATGGTAGTGATTGGATAAAATTCCTTAGATATCATCATAAAGAAGATAAAGACCAATCTATATTATTAAGCCATGATTCCTCTCCCATAATGTGACCTCTCCTATTATGCTCTCTAGAGATACATGTATTTTATAAACACAAAAAGGAGATTAAAGAAGAAACCAAAAGGAATCTTTAGAATTCAAAGCCACCACCTATTTTACCATTCACTCCATTTTCCCCCAGTTGGAAGGTTCTGACACCAGCTGGGCTTATCTTGCTCTGTGTTACAATACTGCTTAGGCTAAAATGGGGGAGATTCCAAGAACAATAATACAACTACTTTGTTCTCTCAGAGAATGTATTTGCTAATGCGATCCCAAAGTACTATGTAAGCATAAATGGCACATCTACTCATACTTGATTTGCCAGTTTATCCAGAACTTAATCCATCATTTTCTTGAAGATATCAGTTTGAATACCCTGGGTATTTATTGGTAATTGCTCTATTTGTCTAATGTTAAAACTCATCTTTACATCTTTCGAGTCTTTCTTTGACCCCCCTCCTTCATTCCTGAGAGATGACTGAAGTTGTGTTTAGTTCCTTAAAAGCAGAAATGTGATCCACAGATCATTTTTGAATACTGTGAAGCTCAGCCTGGAAATATTTTTATATTTTCGTTGCTACAAAAAACAAATGAACTTAAAAACAAAAATAGAAGGAATCGAGACAATCTTAGGCTAAACACGATAGAGCTAACCATTTGTATGTTTCGAATGGTTACATTTCTGTACGTGGGTACATTTGTTTTAATGCAGCTAGTAAAAATAAACCACTGCACACATTTTACTAAGTTTGTAAAACATCTTCCATCTTTCCCTGTAAGCATTCCCAAATGCCAGAAAACATGCACTTAAACATAATTTCTCACCACTAGTAGCTTTAAACTACCACCCATTCTCACAATTATTGGTTAGTTCTGAGAAAACCATTGCGTTTACATCCATAAACCTGCTTTTCAGAAAATAAACTGAGTATGTAACTGGTATTCAGCTGCTGTCACTGAGTTATCAAACACATCATCTTTCCAAACACATTTCTTCATCCAGACAAACTTTTAGGTCATCATGCACAGTTCTCATGGAAACATATCCAATTCTTAGTGTAGACAAGACCACATAAATAAATAGAAATGAGATTTTTTTTCTTACCTTTGGAAAGCAGTCAAAAGCTATACTGTTGGTGGGAGAGTATACCAAGTAACAGACTTTTGTACACTCTTTCTTACTGGTGGTATACAGTCTATAGGAAAAGTAAATATATAGGAATGTATAAAATAGCTGTGCACACAATATTCTTTAAAAAATTATTATTACTAGCTTACTTTTTTGGAGAAGAGGCTGCGATAGAGACCTTAGATGTTAGGCCCACACTTTGGGGCAGAAGGAGAGAGCAATAAGCTGAGGTAGACCAGTTGATCACAATTCAGGTACCTCTGAACATGGGAGTGTTGATGTGTATTTTTTGTGGCTAAGGCAGCTGGGCTTTTCTTACTTGAATTGGAGCAGCTGAGCAATCAGTTCCCAATAACTGGTCTATCTGGGTAGGACATGATTTCCTTCTTGTTGCCATCTCTTTTGGCTCAGTCTCATTCATGATGCTGACCCACCTGCCTGGTTGATCCACAATGACACAAGGAGTGTAATGTCGAGAATGCTGAGGATCCATACAAATGAAGAAGCAAAGCAAAGCAAAACAAAACAAAGCAAGCACTATAGAACAAAGTCACACAGCGCAGGAGGATGTGCCAGAGTTTTCTAGGCAATATCCGCTGTGCATGGTTTGGTGCTCACATCCATTTGCCAGTAGTCTGGTGCTTCTTTTGTTTGTGTGCTTTGATCAAACGCCCCCTTGTATTGACATGTTTCAGAATTTTCTAATTGCTTTGAAAAGAGTGCATGATTTTAGATATTTTCCTCATAATTGATGCTAAAATGATAGTAAAAAGCAATAGCAGAATACATACTTAGATTTAAAATATTAGCATACTTATATTTAAAATTGTATATCTGAGAAGTACACACATATACATCTATATAGAGATGGATCTAAGGGTGGGATTTGAACTCATAGACTTGTGCTATGCTTTGAAGACATGTGTTTTACCGTGTTAGTCATCCTCTGGTACTTGTCATATACTTGCCATATAATATGCTTACCAGCTTTATGTAAAAACAATGATAAACAATACGTTTATCAGCTTTCATATAGAATCTGTCTAACCTCCATCCCAAGATCATTTGTCATTCATACATCCCCATATCAAAAAAAAAAAAGAGCTACATACCACCCAGTTATCTCCAGCTAGGATTGACTACACATCTCTGTACCCCTATCAGGCATTTGCATTGAGGTACTTATATGAACTAGCTGGGGGACACTGGCTCAGATGGATGCTATCTCAGAACAAAGGTAGTTAAGACCTCTCATCTTCACATACGCCATCCTCAAGCAAGGAAAGCAAGAGAGGAGAGGGCAAATCACAGAACATCTCTGTTGTGGGCAGTCTGTGTGGGGATGACAGCAGAAGTTGTTCACCCATTCCATTCTACGTCACCAGTAAGCTATGGTCCATGCAAACCACATGCTCCTCTTTATCCCACAGCTCTAAGATTACCATCTTCCAAATCATCAGTAGCAAGTATAGGGAAAGATATCAAATTCAAGGGACAGGTGAAGACACCAGCAGGTCTTTTAAGAAAGGGAATGGAGGAGGGAGCCCTTTGGTTAGATCTAAATGTATGCAAATGAATCAGTCTCGTCTGAATCCCTAGCGGCAGAACTCTGCTGCTGATAGAAGTGGTTGAGCTACATCCCTCCTTAGCTCTCTGAGCTTGCTGGTTTTCAATCTGGATGTAGAGGCCAGCCAAAACCGTCCTACGGTTGGATATGTAATAGATCAGCAGTTGCACAGGTTAACATTCACATTTTGACAAGATGGTATGTCTCATATAAACAAGTATTTTTTTTTCTGTCAAACAACAGCATTTTAACTGAAGAAGCGAGCTAAAAGGAAAATTTGACTCCTAGAGGAAAAGTTAAGGCAGTGCTGGGGCAGTTTCTGTGTCTACCCATCTTAAGCCAACAAGCAAGTTCACCTTTAGGAAGACATGGACTTGCAGTGTGGAGGGGGGTGAGTGGAAGCATGCAGGCACTGGATGGCGAACTGCAGGGATGGAGCAGAGCTGTTAAGGATGAAAACACTGATGACTGAAATACATCCAGACTGAGTGTATAGAGCAACAATGGATACAGATATTTTGGTTCCTTTATTTACTCTAGCTCGTGCTATTGTAAGTTTGACTTTCTTCTTGGTGCTATCCCCTCAGAAACTTTCCCCATCAAAGAGATACATTCTTTATTTAATTCCTTATTAAATTCTGTGTTTCTGGTTGGTTTTCACTGGAGAGCTTTAATTCAGAAAATAGTTCATTGTCTCCATTACCAAAGTGCAGATGTTGGAGATGATTTGGTATTTGACAGAGTATCATGCCAATCTTTCCTAGCACAAAAATACTCTATTCTTGTCACTCATTGAACTTTTCACTACTATTTGTGCCTTGGTGGGGCCTGGGTTTCCAAATGCAACAGTTATCTATGACATCACACTTTCTGCACTGGTGCACCAGAATGTACTTCTAGAGTTGTGCTGTCCAATACAGTAAGCCTACAAGCCATGAGCAGACTGTAAACTTAAATGCCTTAATGTGACTTACACCCTCTATTTCAAATGATCAAGAGCTACTGAGCTCTACTGATGCCACTCACTGGGCAGCACAGATTTAGAATACCACTGTTACTGCAGAAAGAGCTGTTGTTGGTCATCTGTGGGGAAGGTGAGGTCTTTGGATTGGTTTTTGGGGAACTTTCAGAGGTAGATCATCAGAAACACCAATGTTTGGAGGTACATGAATCTCCTCCTGTGGCCTAGCCAATACGTAGTCAACGTTTTCATCAACTTTTATGGAAGTGTCTATATAATACCGGAAGACCCGAAAGAAAGTTATAACATCTTTCAGCTTCCTTGTGAGGCAAAGGCTCTCTTGGATATCTTTGTTTTCTGGAATGTCCATCTTAGGTGTATGTAGACACAAGAATAATCACCACCCAACATAACTTATTCAAGCAAAGACACCAATGAGAGTTCCCAATGGAATCATTGTTGTAAATAGAACAGACAGCAGCCTTAAAATTTTTTTTTTTAGTTTTTAAGGTGAGACCTCTACCTGAGCAGCCTTCTTTAAGTTCAGGTTACTCCTTGTCTACAGATAACGCAACAAAGCAATAATGCATCATCCAGCACATTCATCTGAAGAACCCCCCATCCCCGCAAGCATCATCAGCATTACATGTCTGTATACCAGCTGTGTTACCAAGAGAGGGAGCTCAAGTCATTTGTATATCGGGAGTTTGATAAACTCATGTTGGAGAAGAGCCAAGAGGAACAAATAAGATGTAGGAGGTAGGAGTTAGACCTGAGAAATTCAACTTCCTCTCCTGAGTAGATGTGTGACAGCCCGTGTCATGGAAAGGAATAAGAATGCCCATTCTATAGACCTTTCATGAGGAAAACTGAGATCTTCCATACAAGGCCTTCTAAAATACCTATTTTAAAGGTATCAATTCTAGTGTTAAAACTACTGTTGGTATTAGCATTCTAGACATTACTGTCATTCCCCCCAAAAAACCTTCAACCCAAGGATTAATCAGTGAAAAGTCAGCAACAGTAAAAAAAAAAATACAGTATGAAAGCCAGAGAATTATTATGCAGTGTTACACTGAATGAATTGTCCCGATTCAAAATTCTGATGTATGATATTTAACACATACATGTTGACCTGCAAGTATATTTTGTAGCTATTGATTTGGGATGGTATTGTATCAAATCTGTGTGTTTGTGTACAGATAAAAATACAGTACTGCTACTGGAATAGCTATAGGAATAAGGTTTCATGAAATGCAAATTTGACATGAGTGCCTATAATTATAAGCTACAGAGACATTGACAGACAGGAATATTTATCACGTAAGTAAAGTTATAAATTTGTGTCCATATATGATCATAGCAAGATTGCTTTAGGTGACTCGATTTCATTTACTGTATGGTGTTTAGTTTGTTTCTAACTGGACTGTCATATCTATTTAATCTCATTGAAATGCATTTCTTATTTTTATTATCTTTAAGTAGCTGTGCAAAGGAGAAGCCAGCCAACAAAGCAGTTTATGCATACAATGCATCTAAGCAAAGCTTTTTGGCATGCTTAGGAATGCAAGCACTTGGCACTTAATTTAGATATGATTGACGACATTCGATAACCCACTTATGACACAGATAATAGTATTTCTGTATACGTAATGATACTGAATTATAGAAAACCTCAGTGACTCTGAGAGCTGCTGATAAAAGTGATTGGGTCTGAATTCAGTGATGTCTCCCCCTACAGCACCATGAATGTTTATGGGGCTTGCCTTTTCTCTCTGGTGGACCTGTTGTGGGAGGGGTATTGCAAAGCCACCAGCCATTTCATTCATCCTTTCTTTCAGCCTGGTCCCTTAATTTCTTCTTCTGAGAAGTCAAAGTGAAACCCTCCATGGATCTAATCATTCCACTTTACTTACTGGGAAAATACGTCATGATATAGAAGACCACGGCTCAGTGTTTGTTAGGTCACACCCACTGGCTTCTCGGACTTCTAGCTTAGTCGTAAGACTTTGGCTACAATAAGATCAGTTCCTAATTGAGACTGACCTTCAGGTATGCTGGAAGTGGCTTAATGGACAACCCCGAATCCCTTCTATCTTAGAAACAGAAATTATCCTGAGGAGCACTAGGAGTTCTCATTCTTCATGGCACTGACCAAGCTATTTCTGGAAAGCAAATCTTAGAACTAGTCTTTTCATGTGAAAATCATTTGTGGGACTGACTGTTAGTCAACTAGCAATAAAGAATTCTGTGCATTCAACCCCTGAGCTGGTATTACGTTACTAACAAAAAGATGATGTCCCCGACCCCCTCTTACTTTGGGCCATTTTCAGGCCTGAATAAAGACTAGTAGGTGTTTTGGTTCTAGTATCTAACACTTCAGATCCCTGTCTTCCATGCATCAAATCTCTTCTTCTTCATTGATGTGGCAGGTATTTTCCCTATGCAGTGATGGAATTATCCTGGTAGTGTCTGGGGCTGTGTACATGGATGGAAGTTTAACAACTTCATTCAGATATTTTATGTACTTTTTTGTTTCTAAAAGACTCTCTTAATCAAAATTGTGTCCATGTGCATGTACCAGTGAAAAGAAGTCATGCTTCCAAAGTTCTTAAAATATTCTAATTTCATTTTTGGTGGTATAGTTCATTAGGTATGGATGTTGTCCTAACAGGAAGTTATTTCTCTAGCAGGAAGGATGTGAGAAAGGAGCTTATGTCTTCTGGAAGATCCCATCAATAAGAGCAGGGAAAGGCTTCACATTTCTGAAGCAGAGCATCTAAAAGCTTTTAACCAATAGTAGCAGGAATGAGTTAATCTTAGAAGGATAAAGCTTAACAATCACCAGGGCAACCCAGTCAGTCTATAAGCCAAAACTTAGAGGCAACGCTCACTGAACTTTCTAGAAGTTTTCTAGACATTTCTGCCGCAGGATGGAAAAGTGAAAGGAAAGGAGCTGTACTTACTGTTTGGGTCTACGTTTTCACAGAGCTCTGTCTTTGCCTCGCCGTTGGGTCTGTCACTGGGTTTGTGTGACAGCCGAGATGACATGGTAGCCGCTGTGACTACCGCCTTGAAACTTCGCTTCCGCTTCTGGACATTGAGTTCAGGATGGAAAATGATGATGTACACTTTCGGCATGTACAGCATTCCCAGCGCCACTGACGCACTTAGGTTCATGGAGATTGTAAGCGTGGTAGTTTGTATGTAGAGCTAGGAGACACAACACACAAGGCACTATTACAAATAAAATGACTGCAGAGGGAGTCCCAACACTTAAAGCGATGTCATGAATGATTACGGCTATGAGAGAAAAAAAAAAGCAACCTCGGAAGATCCTCTGATAAAATGGGGGACATAGGGCGGCACAATTATTTGAGAGCGTTTGCATCTGCTAACTGAGGGAAGCCACTGGCCACACCCCTGTGCATGCTTGTCTTGGAGAGGTCTCCTGGATGGAAGCTCGGGGCTGACCGTGAGTCACACTGCAAGTCCTTGTCATGAAAACGAGAGCTGACTGTGGAGACATGAGGATCAGACAATCTGTCATCGGAGTATCGTGTGATTATTTAGTTTTTAATGTCACCTACAAACAAGGCTCTGTAGAGATTCTAGAACCTTATTGGAAACAAGATTTATGTTCATATTGTTTGTGTCTTCTTGTATGTATCTTCACTGTACTAGAGTGTGAGTGTCTTTTCTCTGAAAAGTTTGGGCTTGTTGCCAAAGTCTGCTCAACCCAATGCCAAAGGCAAGGGGTCATCATCTAATGTGATCCTGGCTTTTTACTATCTAGACACTGGTAAGTTGCTAGTAGAATAAGAAGACCTCAGTCTGGCATCGTTGTATTTGTACATTGGATGAGGGCTCCATAGCTACTTTTGTTTCCTTTTACTTCTTCAAGAAAGCAATAGATGAACTGCTCATTTGCTGCCTAATGAGTTTAGTCATGGTTGTGCATTTGACAAGATGGTAGCAAAAGGGTGTGGCAAACTGTGCATTCAATAAAAGGAAAGTCCCAGACATTCACCTTGGTCCAGTTGTGTTCATGATATACCTTACTATAACCTCGAACACTTCAAGTAATGAGATGTCATTGTGGTTTTTGCATGGTTTCAAAAAGCTAGATTCAATGAAATGCCTGGATATCCCTGCCTTTTATGCTCTTTCACAGTGGATTTGACTCAAGTATTTGACAGCTATGAACTGGGGATAAAATCTCCATTCCTAATTGAATCCACACAGTCTGGGCTAGACAACTACTTCACACAAATTTGTCCATTATTTCCCAATTCCTTGATGTCTGCTTTCCCAACTAAACATTGTTTGGATGTTTGTCTCCCACTAAGGCCCTACATTCTGCCTTCGTGGAACCTATCCCTGAAGATTCTAGCTTGTCTGTAGAGCAGGCAAATGGTAGAGCTATGACTAAATGAATCACTTGCTTGACGCCTTTTACCTACCTCTGCTTCAGTGGTCAGTCTCTCTTTATACATACAAGACTTTACATCAGATCGATTGACTACCTGGAAATCATGGTCTCTGTGAAACCAAGAGAGATCTAACCATGTCATCTGGAAGGAAACATTCATTTGAATTTGTATGTCTGTGAGTGGTTAAAAGTAGCTGTCAGCAGCTGACTCTATAATAGAGAATGAATGTAAAGTACAAAGACAGAGCAAGATTGAATTAATGATCCGTTGGGATTTTAATTAGATTTGTTTTTTGAAGCTCACTTCTTCCTAGTAGAATATCTTTAGATGTTTGTGTCATTCGACTTGGCAGGCCTATACTCTTGCCAGATATAGCCTCATGGCCATAGCTGTCATCCTAATCACCAGGATTGCACAAGGCCAAGTTCAGCCAGTCCATGAAAGTAAGGGATGTAAACAAACACAAAGGAACATAGGCTTTGTTTCCATTTCTCTGCTCACAGGCAAACATTGTCATTGAGGATGCCATTCACAGGGTTTGTCTATAACTTGCACATAAATTTGATGTATACATGAACTTACATGTATTTGTATGTGTATGTTCATATATCCTTTTTCTGATCAGAGACCACATTACAACTGAAATCTTTCAACACTGTGATGTTTGTAGAGTGCTTAATAGTTATTTTCTGACAAAAGACTAAGAAGATTGGTATTTTGTCCACTTGAGTAGTTGCTAACAATTTAGATGTAGACAATAATCAAGATCACTGTTAATCACTATTTCCATTCTCTATCCCTACTTCTGGGATCCTCTTTGCCTAGCAACTATTCAATAATAGGTACTGAGAAGGAAGAGCCTTGAGCTAGTCTCTCCAAGCTCAGTCACCATTTATCAGTTTTGTGACACAGAGCAGACTACTTCTCCATAGCTTTCTTGTCTATAATATGGGTGAGTTTTAGCCCTTTCCTTGTACTTTTACCTTGATGATCAACTATGTTAGTATTTGTACAGTGCTTTGGATTGGGTCTAGGATGTAATTAGTGCTGTTCAGGTATTTCTTAGGAAGTACGGTGGAAGGATAGAGATGTAGCTCAGAGATAGAGGGTTTGCCTAGGATGCACATGACTCCAGGTTCCAACCTTAGAACTACAAAAAGAAAAACTGAGGGTACATAGACACTAAATAAGTACAAAGATAAGAAGATTCGGGTTAGCGATTCCACAAATATAGCTCCACAGGTTCTTACCCAGCTAAGTCCTAGGAGGGGCTAGGTTGCCGACTCCTGGGCCTTGCATGTGTATGTGTGTGGGGGTGGGGGCAGGGGAGATCTCATCTTTACATCTTGAGCTTTCCTCCACCTATTATTGATAGGATAGTTTAAGGAAAATCCCAGCATACTGATATTCAGTGTCAGTGTGGATTTTATTTTCCTTGTTGGTCATTGGATGATGATGAATTATCCTGATTAATCTTGGGTATTTCATACCATTTTATCTTCCTTATTATTAGTTGAGAAATATTAACAAGTTGAGGATCATTATTGGTCCCTTTTATGGAAGTGTAGGGGTGAATATAGTTTTACTGTGATTAAGCACCTCTGTCCAGGGCTGGTGGGTACTGGATTGAACTCAATTGCAATGGAGAAAATAACATTCCCCCCGCCCCCCCACCCCCTCACCCCCGCTGCCATTTTGGCCCAGTAGAGGCTCAGGCCTGTGTCAGGAGCACAGATGGCCTTGGAATTTCCACTGTTTTGATAACTAAACCTTTATCTTGCCATCAAAATTATGGTTTCACGGTAATTTCCATTTACTTCTTCTGCAGTGTTCCAAGCTTTCTCACACCCACATTTAGGTATCAAATTGGTAGTTAAACAAGCAAAGGTTTATGCAGATTTTCTCCAACAATTTTCTCAGACTCTTGTGTGTGAAAGCCATGGCTATAATTCTTCTCTCTATCTTTCCATTCCTCATCTGTAAAAATGAGGAAAGAAAAATATTCCTAGCTTAATTTGGTGAGACCAGATTCAGGTGGAATGAGTTTAGCAGTACATAGGAAATCAGTAGTCATGAAATGTTGGCTCTCATCTGTATATTCTGTCAGGTTAGGTTGTTTAATGTCAGATATCAGAATAAGGGCTCTTCTGTGACACCTTTATGTATTTTAAACTATTAAACAAATAGTTTGTTTTTTAAAAACTATTTTATATGTATTGCTTATCTATATCACAGTCTATCTATATCACAGTCCTTATGTGGGCATACAGAAATATACTAGCACGGGAAATGTAATTTTTTCTATTATTATTATTAGTAGTAGTAGTAGTAGTAGTAGTAGTAGTAGTAGTATTTTGGTTAGTTGTGGGGCTTGAACTCAGGTCCTGGGCACTGTCCCTAAGCTTTTTTGCTCAAGGCTACTGCTCTACCACTTTGAGCCACATTTCTACTTCCAGTTTTCTGGTGGTTAATTGGAGATAAGAGTCTCACAGACTTCCCTCTCTGGGCTGGCGTTGAACTGTGATTCTCAGATCTCAGTCTCCTGAGTAGCTGTGATAACAGACATGAGCCACCAGGGTCAGTTTAAGAAACAGAGTTTGGAATAAAGTTGTTTTTTTCCCTTTGCTCTGCAGGAATGGATGAAATTGTAGTTAACATATGATTTTTAGACACATACTACTTTCTCTGTCAGGAGCATCAGAGAAAGTTAGGAACTCTTTGGTGGAAGTTTTAAAATCAGTTTAATTGAAGACCATTTTGAGATCTTTAAAGACATGTTAATTGTTGTTAAACCTAGGAGATCAGAGCATTTTCACTGCTGTTTGAAAAAATAAAAGACCAAAAGAAAGACTATAAAATTTATAGAAGATTAGAAATAAATTCTATGTTTCCATCAGAAAGAATAATATTGTACCATGTGCAAGGAAATGGGAAGACTTAGAAAAGAACTATATTAAGTGAAGTAAGCCAGACTCCCCAAAACATAGGTTGCATAGTTTCCCTCACTTGTTGAATCTAGAATATGCCTATAAATCTACAAGTAAACACATTGGATGGTAAAAGACAAAAAAATACACTTGGACATGATAAACTATACAGGACTCTAGACAGTCACACAGTGAGACCCAAGGAGGATATTCTTAGGAGAGGATCACAAAGGCTCAACAGCTGCGTGCGTATGATCATGTAAAACTGTATTTATCAACATGAACTCCAAGAAATGGAAACCAGATTTTTGTTGCTTTGTTTTGTTTTCCTTTGTGGCTGTTTTTTTTTATTTCTGTTCTGTTTGTCTTGCAAGTAAGTTAATCTGTGGTAGGGAGGGTCAGGGGGGGAGCACAGAAATGGTGGGACAAAGGGTGAACAAATTAAGCAGTGATACTCACTAGGCACTATCTTGAAAATGTGGGGAGGGGGTGGGAGGGAGAGAGCAAATGGAAGGGTGACACTGCTCAGAAGGAAATGGACTCATTACCTGACTTATGTAACTGTAACCCCTCTGTATGCTACCTTTACTGTAAGAATTTTTTTTTAAAAAGGTTAGATAATAAGACGAATAGACATATGTCTGGAATAATTAGGAAAACCCCAATTTCAGATGTGGGGATTTATCCACATAGCTTCATCATTATTATTCCTAATGTCATCCATAGTAATGTCTTACATAAATGCACGACAAGATATGTATGCTAGTGAATGGCTAGCTGTAGCATTGGCTATAAAATGCAATTAATTCAATTGGGACACAGTTCTGTGTCCCCATTACTATAGGAGACAACT